CCCCCCCCATTCAAGGCCGCGCGCATTCGCCTCGGGCGAGCAAAAAGGCTCTCTTTTTGCGAGGCTAACGGCAAGGGCGCTGCCCTGGACGTCTTAATCCTCTGCGCTGACTTGTCAATCTGCCTAAACGAAGTGTATTTTGTCCTCTAGTGCTACAACAATCACCGCGCTATGTCCCTTAGCGCTCGCCTGAGTGCTTTTGCCGTCTGTACTAATGGGTTTCGCTTACTTTTGTACTTTACATAAAAATCCGGGGAACATATGCTTTTGCGGAAGTGACTGCGGCTTCAGGCAGTCCGTTAGAGTTCACTGACGGTAACCAGGGTAAATCGCAATAAAGTGACTTGCATCCTGTTTGATCCGGCATGGAGTATTGGCTGACGGCCAGCTGCTCAGAGTGTATTGGAATGCCTGGATCGTTGTATCCACTCGACCAACCAGCTGGCGTCCCAGCAAGTCACTTCACCGTTTACCACAGATACTGCCCCACTAGTTCTCGTCCGATATGACTCCAGGATCTGCATACAAGGCATATATTCATGCTTACACTCAGAGAGGCATGACTGAACATGGAGGAGTTTGAGTGGTCAAGAACAAAGTGATCATCATTCTCACCAGAGTACTGAACGCTCCAAAGGCTGAATGTGGTCCATAAATCGGCACCCACTATATGAAAAAAAGAAGCTTTCCAAACACCAATATGCAGATCAATCGTAATAGCGTACATGTCATCTTTTTTACACACACCCTTTCCATTGGTGGCCAGATGATACTAGACTGAGAAAAAAAACCGGGGAAAGCCACACTTATGCACCAGCACATCACCGGCGACTCCGAGTCCTGAGCGAGTGCGGTCTGGACACGGAGGGTGGGCGTGTTAATGCGGGTATTTTATCGGGTAGGGTATCCATGCATGAAATGGGCTTGCCCTTTCTTTGTCATCTGACGATGCCATTCAGTCTCGGCTTCGAGAGTGCAAAAGGAGGGCAAGCGAAATGAACAGAGTGACGGATCGTGAGCGGGCCGCAGGAACGTGACGCGCAGGGAGCATCACCGATGCTATACCGATATTAAGGTTAGCATCGTAGCGGCAACGAGAGCCATAGTACGAGGCAGGCTAGGGCTGAGACTGTGGGCTGCGGAAGTCGTCTGGCCCGAAGCAAGCCTTTTGTCGTCGTTGCGCACACAGTTGCTCTTGGCCGTAATCTCGGCTGGGCACACGACACGCTTGAAATTGGCGCTGTGCAATGTTAGTGCTAGGTGCATGGTGTGTAGGCCGGCAGTGGAAATCAAATACCTGGGGAACGACGCGTCCTGGAGCCAATCAAAACGCCACCGGCATCCCGCTCTCAGGGCCTCGGGTAGGTTTGCACAGTCGTTGCTCGAACTGACGCCCTCCATCTTCTGGCCAAAGACGGACTGGTCGACGCCATACTGCTTGGCGCATCCGTCGACCGATGTTGTGTTGCCACCAGGTACCTGGTAAAGACTCAGCTCTGCACTACACTATCGAGCAGGGTTCTGGAAAAAAAACATGACTTACTGCAAGGGTGAAGCGGTTTGCTGTTGTAATGTCGTATGCCGTGTTTGAGGCCTGGATAATCATGCTCTTTCCGATCAGTGGGTCACTGGTGAAGTCCAGCTGGTAGCATGCGCAACACCAAGCGTCCTCGATGCCGCCGTGCGTGAGGGACGGCATGATGTAGACACCAGCAAAGCCATAGGACATTGTGTCGTTGATAGCCCATGGCTGCTGGTCGGCACACTGGAAGGCATCACCACCGTTACAGCCAGTGCCAGCGGCAGGGTTGGTGGGCTTGTTGTCTGCTGTACACGACTCTACGGGGCTGCTGAAATCGGCCTTGCCATTCCACCCGCACGATGGTTTGCAGCAGTCCCAGTACCGCGTAGTCACGGCTTCGCCCGAGTAGTTGAGATTGGCGGCATGAGAAAGAAGGGCAAAGAGGTGGAGGGAGATGAGAGTGTTTCGGACATGTCGCGCCATGATTTGTGGATGTGTGGTTGTGGATGTGTGGAAGAGGTAGTAGATGTAGATGGGAGGTCGAGGTGATGATGATGATGTCGAAGTCGTCAACAGGTCAGTGGCATGGTTCTTGGGCTGGAGAATTGCGCCGTGTTGGTGGCCGGGCGTGTGTATGTATTTGAAGGATCTTGGTAGCAGCGACAAAGAGGGGTCCTGTTTTAGTCTGGCCGCAAGGAGAAATTAAGCTGCTTTTGATATCCCAGGCCGACAAGATGAACCATCCTGCTGTGCACCTGGCAGGGATCGGCGGAGCTTGGATACTGAAACGGGACCCGGGGCAATGGCATTTGAGAGGCCCAGCAAGCCGTTGCCACTGCGTGCACCACGTTGTCTTTCGTCCCATGCCATGCACATGCACACGCGACGGGCTGCCATTTGTCGCATCGCCACCTTCTTAATCATCCTCACCCCTGGTCGTCTGCCTCGTGGTATTGGGATGACTACTCTACTCTGGTATTGGCACTCTTCTTCCCCACACTTACCACCGACCATATATCGCCCCCCCGCAATTCGGCAATCGCGGACTCTATGATTCACATGCACTCAATTCACTCTGCTGGTACTGCTACTCTAAATTGCCGTAACCTCCCCAATGACGACGCCCGTCAATAGCCAGAGCATGCTACGCTGCCATTGCCACATGCCACACCACACCACACGGCTGCCATTGCCGAACCAACGCCTAATCCTCTGGTCAGACGTCTCACGTTCCGCCCTCGCTCGGGGGGCCCATTATCGGTTACACTCGCCCCGCTACTCTAAACGTATTGCTCCGTCCGCCGGCAAGCGTTCACACCGCCGCCTGCAAACACGAACCATGAAGATTACCAGATGCCCGTAAGCCCCACGACAAAGTGGCGCGTGCCCTTCCTTCAAGGCTCTCATGGACCCTGTGCACGGAACATCCACGCGTCTGGCCCTCTGCCATGTCCGTCTGTGCCGCGTCACTTCCGACCGAGCGACTACTGAAAAATATGTCCGATTGGCCGAATAGCCAATATCGCGTCCAGACCAACACCAGCCCAAGTAGCAAAATCGCCAAGGGGGCTTTTACCCTCAGCAATAGGCATCGGAGCCTGTGTTGGGTTGGCGTGGTCGGATGGATAATTTCAACTTCACAACGAGGGGTACATGCTATAACACCCTCTGGTATATGTCCAGGACCAAGGCACATCACAAAAATGTTCCAATGCAGCCAAACCAAACGAATGCAACAACACGTATGCGTGCTAGTATACCACCCTTATTACTAGGTAGTAGCATACAAACACTCCAGGCCAGACCTCATGTCGAGCTTTCCCGGTATGTGTGCATACATCACACTCTACCCGGCACTTGCTGCGACTGCCCAATGGTCTCTACGCAGCCATCCTTGCACTTGTCGTACTCGCCTTGAAACTATGTTTCTGAAACCGCTGTCATTGAATCAGACTCATATGCGCCCAGGAATACAAGAAATGGACAATGCTCACATACATGCCAGGGATGGTGCTGATAATATCCAAACTATCAACCTGGCAAAATCGTCTCCGAAAACCTGGACCTGTTAGCCACATATTGGCATCATCCAAGCAGTGGCCCACGCTCTTCTCTACTCACTATGCATACTTACATGTCTTGTCTTTGCTTGGTCCGATATTCTTGGTCGTCTCACCAATGTATTGACTTTGAATCTATTGTTGGAAGTAGGGCACGTTCTCCAGTTGAGTATGCCTATGTAGGTCTCGTCGTGAGCCCCGGGGCATGAATACGGTTGACTATTGACTACACTACAGAGAAAGAGCCGTGTACATCCGATTGAACTGTACACCAAGTTCTGAAAAAATATAGGGGATGAAAATCTACGCCAACATACGCTGCTTATCGCTTAAGGAAATAGAGTCATCTTGACATAGAAAGTAACAAGTCCATAAGGAAACAATACACACTTGACACCACGAATTCATCAGATCGTCTTACATATTACCATATCACAAAGGCCGCTTAGGATCCTTTTTGACTCCAGCTTATCCTTTTTAAAGTTCTCTCTATCTCTGCTCCCCCTTTTCGTCGTCAGATTCAAGCAGACTTTCTTCCTGCCACAAACGATGCAACCATGTACGGCACTCCAGCTGCCATACCAGCACCTGATCCACCTAGCACCGCTCCACCAACGGGCATTTTTATCATTCCTCTCCGTGCAGCAATCAAAGCAGCAACTGCACCTCCGCTTGCACAACCCAGCGTAACCCAGTCCGTCTGTACTTCGCCATTGTTTTCCAAAATCCTCCACGATCTATCTTTCCATTCAATCTCTTCGAGTCCTCTCATGCGGCCCCACGTCATCACCGCACCCGCTGCTGTTCCCAACACAAGTCCACGGCCCGCTGTCTTCAGCGTACGCGCGAGTATGACGTTGTAGTCGATTGGCGCCTTGTTGTAGCGCGCTCCAATGATAGAGGCTGGGAAGCGCGCAAGCGAGAAAAAAGAAAGGGACATGGCTGAAGCGCGCATAACGTGAAGGTACAAGATACTGCGCGCATACGGTTGATCCTCGGCATAGACCGGATGTGGGAAGAGAGAGGTCATTTTGTTTTATTCGCGTCTCTTGCTGATTGCTTGGGTTGTGGCCTACTGGCGTGGTTTTGGGTATGGGTGAGCTTTTTGCTTTTCCAACTTCAGATCGGATGTTCCTAGCTCTTCAATGGGGTATGCTCATGAAATCTGAGTAATTATAAAGCAATCTTTTGACACAGCAACTGACGTATTAATACAAGAAGTGGGACAGTCGACCTTTTGCTACAAAATTTTGTAGTGAGCTTCACAGCTTTACAGCACAAGTTGAACTTGAAGTCGGCGATAACAAACCTCCGCCAGCGGAGGCCTTCGGCCGTAAGTCCGATGTGCTTTTGCAATTCGCAAAGATATTTCGCCCGACTTTGTTGGACTAGCTTCCTTCCAGATGATATCGACCAATGGCGCGCGATGGGATTTCATGTTATCGCATCCCGTGGGCTGCGCCTTCTTCAGGCGCCCAGGTGAGATTGGATCAGATTCCCGGCCCGGATCCCTTACCGTCCGTATGCCCATGTGGGTGGGTGTGGTGTATGTTCTTGCACTTTCATCTGCAATAGGATTCCACGTTTGTCGCCGTTAAAGAACAAATCCTTACACACCTGCCCAGTGCGGTAAGAGGTGCTGGCAAGGCCTGTAGGCAACGGGTTCCAAGGACGACACGAAGGATCGAGTGATCGCCATGATCTTCAACACTACAAGCAATACCAAGGGTAACCCCCAGGGGATCCTATGGATTTGCGATACCCAGCAATGACCATACGTCCATCTCTATGACATATGCAAAGGGTTATACATGAGATCTGTCCAACAACTGTGTAGAAGCCAACCAGCAACAGTCGACGTGTGCCAGGATGGCCACGCAACATCACCCGTGGCAAACAAAAAACAAGGCCTTTATGAGAGTTGCAAGGGCTAAGCCTGGGGGGCTGTAAAGTGCGAGATTTCTTGAAAACACGCTGCGTCTGGTGTTGCAAAGCCCCATGACGTCACCCATCTACCACCACATAAATGCACTAGATCCAGTGGACGGCATACAACACCGACACTCCTATCTACTAAGTCTGCAACAGCCCCCAAAACTCTATTGTTACCACAAAGCATCCCGAGCCCTAGAATCGGAAAAGAACACAAATTACTACCCTGTCAAGACGCGATCCAGATAAACAAGATGCCCATCGGACAAAATGAAAGTGGTGTTACTTCTGGTGTGAAGTTTGTAACCTCTACCGTTGGAAACACTGTTGGTGGTGTTACAAACACTCTGGGTGGCGTAGTCGGAGCCCTTGGAAGAGGCGTTGGTGAGACGGTAAGTAGTATATTCACGACTGCGCGCATGGCATATACGCCACAAGAAGGCTGATTTTGAAATCTTCCAACGTCCAGGTTGAGGGCGCCACAGGCAGTGCTGGCCGGCCCGTTGCCCGGGGCCTCGCCGATGTGGCTACGAGCATTGAAAAGGGCGCAAACGATGTTGCAGGAGGCGTGAAACGTGCTGGCGAAGGAAAATAGATTGATCGGGCTTCTGAACAATGCGGGGGGCAAAGCGAAGGGCTGGAGAATGGAACCCCACCCAAGTGGACCGTAACACTAGATTGATTATTCTCATCTTTTTTTGGTTGGCATAAATTGAAACTAATATTCGATACTTCAAATGGTTGATAGTGTGTGGCTATTGGTACGGCGCAGTCATCGCGCGTTCAACCTAGAGGTGTTGGTGTGACACCGGCGCGACATGCTAACGTGCAAACATACTAACTGCAGTCAGTTCCATGAATACTCACTATACTCAGCCCAAAAGCCTACTCTGGACTGATACCATGCACCATGGCTTGCTATGCTGTCGTCTGGAATCCCTGCAAAGTCTACTTGAGACATTGCGGTGATGCGATTCACTTAGTCTCTGAAAATGACTGCGCGCATTCAAGGTTCAACAGGTGATCACAGAGTGTAGGCAGCACCTTAAGTACTTCACAGCTTATGAGAGAAATAACCAAAATGCACTGGACGGCACTTTTTACCGCCTGGCGGGGTGCGGAAAGCTAGTAGTAGAATACGAGGCCCTGCAGTAACTATTAAGTGAGACATTAGCTGGTGCGTCGCTAGAGCACTCTACGGACCAACCCAGGGTCCATCAAGAGGCTGGCAGCCTCGGCCAAAAAAAGCCTCACAATAAGGGATTGCTATTCCAGTTGAAGATCTTCACAGTTGTTGGAACGTGTCCTGTACATCTGCATGTTTGTGAAAGGGAGGAGGGGCAAATGGTCTCAGATGCGCATCTACTGCTGTTATCCATCTGAAGCCTCAGTGACACTGACTCTTGCGAAGGTTGCAATGGGACCGGATACCAAGGTTGAATTGTCTAAGTGGGTGCAGTCGCCTAGTGCTGCGTGTGTTGAGAGGGATAAAAGCTCTCTCCTACTAGTAAAGTAAGAAGGAAAATACCGTATGACGTCAAGTTTACCATTTGGGCGTATGCGTCCACCAACCATTGTCAGCAACGGTAATGTTTGCGTAGCTACACCCAGCCACGCCGCGTAGAAGTGTTTGCAAAACACATAGTAACACGTGGTTTTTTCTGTGGTGTCGTTGTTCAAAAATTTGACTAATCTCAACTCAACACTCCCAACGAGGGGCGTTCTAGAGGTCAAGACATGCAAGTAGTAAGCTTGTTCATCGGCCTTCCGCAAGCAGCGTCCCATTGATATGCAAGCCAATATACTACACAGCAGCCTCCACATCCCCACTTTCCCAGCCCGTCTCAAGCGTTCCCAGGCAACGGCACGACAAGTGAGAGGCTGGAGACAAGACTCGTATGATCAACGCCAGCCACACTCACTGCACAAGCGTTGCGCTAGTCGGCGTAAGCGTCATGCTCGATTGGGCACAGATCTTTGGCCACGCCCGGGTATCCGAGGGCCCTCGAGACCAATCCAAACAGCCCGGATCAATGTGAATCTTTTCCTTCCAATAGTTGAACTGAGCGAGCTAATACCTCTTGCATTTTCACACTGCAACCCCCTCCTCCTTCCCTGCAAAGCTGGCTGGCATGGGCGACGAAAACAACCCTTTAGGTAGCGGGGGGGTTGGAGAAATAACAACGCCAGACCACATGCGAACTGCAAAGGACGCCGGATCGCACGCATAACTGGCCCCCTCCCCTCCTCGGGAAAAGATGCGAGGGATAGAAACCATCTGGCAAGAGAAGTCTGGTTCACCATCTGACCCAAGCAGTTTGTCAACCGCGGAGTGCACCCAGCCCTTTTTGTGTGGCTCAAGCTTGAACAAAAAACGGTTGTTGACGGCATCCAAGTAAGGCTGTCAAGGATTGAACTGAGGGGCCGGGTGAATGCAAGCCATCCCTCCTCACTCTTCAGCCATCTTCTTTTCCTCTGCATCAGAAGCGTCGACGCTAAGCAGACGCGTAGAAAGCGAGCAATTGGCCGCGGCTGCTCTAATGCGGGAGAGACGGTTGATCATGTCATACCGGATCAGACATGGTCGATGATGATGTGTGCATTTGGGATTTGATCAGAGAAAAAAAACGGGCTATAAAACTGCTTTGTTTCTCGCTGTCTTTCTCTTTTTTTTTGTCCTTTTCAAATCATCTCCGCACACACACCTTCGTTCTCACGACTTACCCACATCAGAGTGACTGATACCTCGTTCAATCAGTCTACTTCTTCTATCGTTATCTTCACTATCGCTATTAATCGCGGTGTTTGATACTAGTAGTAGTATCTGCGCTTTGCTTTTGAACAAAAAATGAAGTCTTTTATCTTTGCTGGCTTTGTGGCTGCGGTCACTGCTCTCCCCCAGGCCGCTTCTGGTTCAGAGTGTGTGGCCTCGGTTGATGGAGCATTCACCATTACCACTGTCAAGGCCCCTGGGGCGGACAAGAAGCGTGCTCTCGCTCGCCGCCAGCTTGATGGTATCCTCACAATGACCCTCAAGGACGGTGCATTGAAGGACCAAGCTGGTCGTGATGGATACATTGCTTCCAACTACCAGTACGTCTCGACAAACATCCTACTCATTTACTCCTCGACACCAGCTAACAAAACCCACAGATTCCAGTTCGACGGCCCCGTCCAAGCTGGCGCCCTCGACGTCGACGGCTTTGGCCTCTGCAGCAACAACTCGCTGTCCCTCAAGGGCTCCACGCTCTTCTACCAGTGCCTGTCCGGCGAATTCTACAACCTCTACAGCCAATCCATAGGCGAACAGTGCCTCCCCATCAACATCGTGGCCGTCATGGTCACCGACAGCGACGGCGAAAGCGACACTAAACCCCCCGGCGTCACCCAAATCTCCGATGGCCAGCCCCAAGCCTCTGAGCCTGCAGTAACCCAAATCTCAGACGGCCAGCCTCAAGCTTCCGCCCCGGGTTCCGCTCATCCACCCCCCGTCACTCAGATCTCCGACGGCCAACCCCAGGCTTCAGCTCCAGGTTCCGTTAAACCCCATCCACCCCCTGTCACTCAAATCTCAGACGGCCAACCCCAAGCTTCCGCCCCAGGCTCTCTTCCACCCCATCCACCCCCCGTCACCCAAATCTCCGACGGCCAACCCCANGCNTCNGCNCCAGGNTCNGTTAAACCCCATCCACCCCCCGTCACCCAAATCTCCGACGGCCAACCCCAAGCCTCCGCCCCAGGCTCTCTCCCCCCATCCCCCATCGTCACTCCCGAGTCCAAGCCTAAGCCCAAGCCCACTCCCCCCATCGTAACCCAAATCTCAGACGGCCAGCCCCAAATCACTTCTCCCCCCGGAAACCACAGCGTCACGCATACTTCGCCTCCTCTCCCCGATTACACCGGTGCTGCGGCTGTGTCGTCGGTGGCGGGGCTGGGTGCGCTGTTTGGTGGGGTTTTTGCGGTGTTTTTGGCTTTGTAACACCGAGCAATATCAAATGATGGGAATGATGGAAATGACGTTAGGTTGATGGACATGGAGATGTGTGGGGTGGGTTAATGGCTTTATGAAGCGCGGAGAGAATGGTGGTGGGTTTCGAGGGGGATTTCTTTTTTTTTTTGGTTAGATAACGACACTCCTTTATGAGATTATGTATTTATGAGTATGAGGATAATAAAAAAGGTAATTGGTATAAGGGGGTGGTTTGACTGGGAAGGGAGGGAAAAAAACGTAGATGGTAATGACATGTAGATGAATGAAGCATTCTTTTTGTTAAGACAGGATTGAGGTGTAGTATGATATGCAGGAGCGCTGAGGTATTGGAATGTGAGGGTGGAGATGGTATGCCGAGACTTGTTCAATCTTTATATTCTCCTTCCATCACTAGCTACATGCCGAATGCTATCTCCCAACCCCATTTCCGTCCCCCAACTTATCGAGTTGCTGTACGAAGTGTAGCCAAGGCAGTGAATTACATACACTATCCCCCCATCGCTTTCTTTCGCAACATGGAGGCGGGGATAGGCAAATTAAAAACGCTAGATATTCGGGATCACAGTGTTAGAGTTACGGTGCAGTGATAGTAAGTCAGTGATCTGTTAGACATTGAATATGAAGCCAAGCTACGCATAGAGATGTGTCTTGAATCCTGATACCAGCGAAACGAAGCTTCGAGCAGCCTAGAATAATAGCGGTGTTTGGATGGTAGATGTGTGTATTAATGTGCTTATTTCCATGTATGAAAAACATTCATTTTTTCATCATCTATCCTGCTAAGCGTCATTAATTTGAAAACCGTCAGGTCTATGTCCTGATACAAGCGTGATTTCGATTTTGAAGTATCCATGTTTGCGTTTGGAATAATCCTTCATTTACTCAACTGTGTGTACCAAATTTGATCTATGGCTCTAATTGCTTTTTCATGTGTTTAGCTTGAATTTTTTGGATAAGGGTAAGGTGAAAGTACCAGTTTGGAGCACACTGTTTCTTGATATTTTTGACATGGATCAAAGTGCCAATTTCAGAATCACTGTAGACAGTTCATGTGGAATGGAGTGGTTAGTGAAAGGCATATAAGTTGGAATAGTTCCATCATATCACTTGTGTCATTAGCACGATGCAGGAAAATGCACGTGTACAAGCCCCAATACATGTGATCAGAATCTAGATTGCATTTCCACTCTCTGGAACTATTCACAAATACGTAGATAATACAACCCAGATCGGGTACACTTGGACTACAGGGAAAGAAGATGTTTAGAGGACGGACAGATCGCCAAACTTCTCCTGCGGGGTTGTTAGTATTCATGCATAGATCAGGGCAATTGCTCCAAAAACGTGCCTTGTAGCCAGGAACGGCCCAGCGACCCTTGGAGACGAGCTGCTCGGTGCGCTTGTCAATCTCGGGCTGGGCAGCGGCAACCTCGTCCTGCGATATTCGTCAGCACACACATAGTCCACCCCACTCATCCATAGCCGAGTCCACATACAACAGTGAGATCAGAGAATGGCCTGGCCTCCTCGATGTTCTTGAGGGTCTTTTGGAGATCGCTCAACTCCTTGTCGACGACGGACTTGGTCTGCTCTGCGCTCTGGACGGCCTGGGCCTCGAAAGCCTCAATGGCCTTGATCTGCCTTCCTACATCGTACGTCTGGGGCTTGAATGCCTTGAACTGCTTCTCGATGTCGTCGACGACGGCCTGGTTCTTGAGGATGCTGCGGTAGTAGGCGAAGTCAACAGTCTGCGACTGCTCCGAGAGGACGGCGATCTTGCGGCGCGCATCGTCGTTGCGCTTCTTGAAGGCTTGGAGGGAAGCGGCGGTTTGACCCTTGAGACCAAGCTGCGTAGCGAGCTTGGTCCAGTCGAGCTTGAGGGCTGCGCTGCGCTGTAGGAGGGGGACAAGTTAGTTTTCTTGATATTCACTTCGGGGCTGCCATTGCGGGCGGGGCTTCGCTGGCGGCACAGCAATTGGGCTGGAAACAGCTTCGACAGGGTTCTGGGAGGGAATCTGACGTACTCCGACGGCCATTGTGATGGATTTAGACGGGAATGCGGTGGTTTCTGTTTCGTGAGGGTGCAAGTCCAAGTTCTTCGCGAGAGCTCGGAACAGAGCCGCCAAGAAACCGGCGCCCGGACCACCGCTCACTTCCGCCCTCCATGGTGGCCATCTTCCCCAAGTTTACTTCTCCCATCCACACCCGACGCCACCCTGCTGCACTTTCCACTCATAGTCTCCGCTTAAGTCTATATTGCAATCATGTGGATTATTGATTGGTGAGTGGCTATGCTGTCACTTCATTTACCCCTGCTGACCTTGCGCCAGGTGTAAGTTTACCATTTGTCTCTCCCGTTACGGATGAAGCCCGACGAAAGCCATGTCTACATATGCGGCATCAACGGCGAAGATATAGCGCTACAGATATACGATGAGCCTGTTCTATTCGCACTCTTCCCTTGAGAACCTCCAAAGTTCTCATAACATGGCTACGTCGGCCTTGTCACATGCGCATCGATACCTTACCCCCCACATACAACACATACGCCTTTCTATCCACAATTCGATCGCCGAGGACCCGAATGAATAGACGCTGACATGGCATGATAGTTTGGGATGTTCTGTCCTCGCTTGGACTTATGAACAAGGTAGGCATGAGCGCTGTGGACACGATCATCAGACTGAGGCTAACATATGTACAGCATGCCAAGCTCCTCTTCCTCGGACTGTGCGCATTCCCACACACATTCAAATCCAGACGCCCATAGCTAACTCTGATGTAGTGACAATGCTGGAAAGACCACGTATGGCAACCGAACTGGGCGCGCGCGATTCGACTAACGCATCTAGGCTGCTGCATATGCTCAAGAACGACAGGGTTGCTGTTCTGTACGTGAACCACGGTCCTTCTCTCGCCGCTAGCTAACATCCCTCTAGCCAGCCAACCCTGCACCCCACCTCCGAGGAGCTCTCGATAGGAAACGTCAAGTTCACAACCTTTGACCTTGGAGGCCACGCGCAAGCCCGACGATTGTGGCGTGACTACTGTACGCCTACCAGATTTTACAATCCTTGCACACCGCATTGACTCGTCTTTAGTCCCCGAAGTCTCCGGCATCGTCTTCCTCGTCGATGCCAAGGACCATGAGCGTCTTACCGAGTCGAAAGCCGAGCTCGACGCTCTCCTCGCCATGGAAGAGCTCAAGAACACTCCTTTTGTCATTCTTGGTAACAAGATTGACCACCCCGACGCCGTCTCCGAGGACCAGCTCCGCTCTGTGCTCGGTCTATACCAGACAACCGGCAAGGGCAAGGTGCCTCTCGAGGGTATCCGACCCGTTGAAGTCTTCATGTGCAGTGTCGTCATGAGGCAGGGATACGGCGAGGGCATCCGATGGTTGAGCCAATATGTCTAGGCGCACTAATACGACAAGAATGAGGCTGCCAGGGGATGGAGGAGAAGAGTGTACGAGGCATGTGGCATATTTGCCCTTGCTATGGGGGTTGACTGAATACGGACATGAAAGCATGATGGTCACACGCGTGTTAGATTTAATCTTCCGGGCGTTGGCGTTAGCTCTTGAAATAATATTACATTTTGCACACCACTTTGTGCGGCATACTTTAAATGGCTCGATGCTGCATCGTCAATCTGCTCAGGCTGGCGCTCATTGGAATATAGGAAAAGAAATGCGCTTGTGCAAGCGCCCAAAACGCCACCCAATGCTCATGTTTACCAGTCCGCCAGGTCCTATCCATTGTCCATCTCATCCTTCTTGTCCTTGTCCTCCGCCCGATTTAGTCGTCGTACTCTGCATCCCTCACTCCACAGAAATCACTTCCAAAGCAACTATCCACCGCATACCACATTCGCCAGTACAAACTCGCCCCATTTGCATCAAAGCTACCATCCTCTTTCCTCGGCACCTGATCGCCAATAATGCCCTGACCAGACCCAAACACCCACCCAATCATCGGCAGTGAGCCCACCGTCTGCTGCCAGCGCGGTTTCGCGGGGAGAAACGCCTTTTCCTGCGGCAGAAAGATAGCGGGCTTGACGTTTGCGCCTTTAAGACGCAGTGTCGCACGTTGGGAGCGGGGGTTCAGCGCGGTAGTTATACTGCGTGCGGGAATGGTGTTTGGATCGAGGACTCGGTGTTCTTCTCTTTCGGGTTCCACAGGCATGTCATCGAGGTGCGAGGGGAAGGAGCCGGCTGTGCTGCGCATGAAGGCCGGGATGTCGTTTGGACCGCGGTATCCGTTTAGTGCTAGTAATCCTGTGGGTTGCGAGGCGGTTGCTGTGGCGGACGAGGCGGTGGCAGAGGATTGCGATGTGCTGATGCCGCGGGGGCCAATGGTACCTGAGGAGATGGTGTTTGGAGAGGTGACTTGCGAATAATTTCCTGGTTCTGCTCGGATGGGGCGGTCGCCGCCTTGAGGGCCGGTTCCTCTGTACATTTCGGCGTAGACGGTGTAGCCCTGGATATTTTTGGGGCTGTAGTGGCATGCGCGCTCTGCTGCTTCGGCGCTGTCGAATGTCACTTTGATCCAATGGTCGCCACCGACGAATTCATTTATTTTTCTCAGAGATGCCTTGCTTAGCGACCGGTAATGCGACGCCCGTTGCGAAGTAAACGTGTATCCGAACTTTGGGTTGTAGGGCTCACGGTCGTATTCTTCGTAAATGAGACCGTTGGAGACCTTTTCGTAGTGTGATATCGCTGCCCATTGTGCATCGCTGCCGTAGCCATAGAGTATTACTTCCTTTGGTTCTTGTATGAAGGCCGAGTTTGTTGATGGACCGGCGGCAAAGGAATTGTTAAGTCCATTGCTCGCGTCTATCAAGTTGGGTACTGAACCGGATGGGGGAAGCGCGGCAATAGGACGCGATGATACTGAGCGCCTCTTGTCCTCTTCTGCCTTGTACCGACCAAATATGTCATCGATTGCGCGTTGGTTGAGTAGTTTCGCTTCGTCGGCCGCTTGGTTGGCGCCCAAGGGCGTTTTTGCTCGTGAAGTTCCGCGTTTCCGTGCTTTTCCAAAGGGACCTTTTTCTTCGGGAAGACGACGTTGGTTTTGGTCTGAGCTGTTGAGGTCTGGTGTCAGCCGCGTGCGCTTAATTACAGCATCTTCCCGTTCCAGGTCTTCCATATGCGAACATAGCGAGGAAAAGTAGACTGATATGTCTAGGCTTCTTCAATGACGCGCTTTCCAGTATCAAACAATCCACACTGGACAAAGACAGCGAAAGAAAGACTTACTCCGCAAACTCATACGCCCAGGGCAGCTTCCTCCCTGTCGAATCAAACGCGCGCTCCGAATCTGGTACAGCGTGGACCTGCATTTTTTCCGACTCTTTTCCCTAAATCTTCTACTTCTCTTCCGATCGAGGGCGCTGCGAGTGCGCGTATCGTCGCTAGGCTGTGTTGAACGTCTTTTGTTTGCGCGACAGGAAGAACAGCGGAAACACGATCCACGCTAGCCAGGAACAACGCCGCGGCAAAGCCACACCAGTGCACGCACCAGGTGAGGCGCACCACCTATAGTCTTGATCGCAGCGGACCTTTCCCGATCCATCTACTACATGCATGCCGATATGCTGGTGCCTACTGGTGACGCGGCGCCTACAAAAAGACCAATGGATCTTACACCCATCATCGTACGCGGCAAGAAACGAAAGCATTTACCCGCAGCACTTATACAGGCATCCTCCGCACCTACTTCTACAACTACTTCTCAACCAAAACGGCCAAAGAAACCAAAAACCAAAAGCAAAGTTAAAGTTGCAACGCCCGCCATGCCAACACTCGAAGGCCTTCCCGTCGAATTGCTGGAAATGATATTCCTACACAGCATGAACATTGCCCTCCCGCAATGCTCTCCTTCTCTAGGCAAAAAACTATCCTCACGCGCAATCACCATGGAGTTTACAATGCGCTCTTTTTACCACACAGTCGATCACCGCACGAACTATCGGGACCGGAAAGTGACCAGCGACCCAGCACTGCAATCGGATATTCTATCCTGCCGCTTCTTCACCTATGAGTTCTTCCTAGCCTACGTGCAGCGCGCGCACGAGGCCATGGTCAAATTGCGCGGGAAAGCGTGGGCAGCCACTGGCGTTACTATACCTGATGTATCATACTTTGACGGACTGTTGCCGTACATGTTTACCAAGATCCCGTATTTGGGGTTTGCACGTGGTTTCAGTATTCCTGAGAAATTGCTGCATGGGCCGTGGACAGAGGACAAGGCGTCGTTGCTGTATGTCCTAGTGAGTTTGAACGGTGAGATTGATTGGGAGGGTAGTATGGCCGGTGAGGTGGCAAAAGCGGGTATTCGAGAAGCTATTAGAGAGGGCAATGAGCATGCAGTTGCGGCTCTGGCGGTGCTTTTGGGCGTGCCAAAGGGTATTACAACGGAGATGTTGCAGTATGCGGTTATAGACTGCGACTGTGACTTGAATACTCTTCGACATCTGTTGTTCAATGCGCAGATCCTTGCAACAGAGGCATCAGGTACCCTCGACTTCTACAATCCCGCTCTTTGGGCATGGGCAGACATCAACGGTCACAAAGGGGAAGTGCTCAAAGACATGCTCAAGAAAGCAGACGCGTTCGATTTGGAATTCTACTTCGAGGACAATGCCGACTGGAGGAAAATCGTAGCGTTTCCATATAGTGGAAGCAAGTTTGACGCAAGAACAGTATTCCATCCTGTAGTGAGAGAGCTGTTGATGAATCTCTACCGCAACTATGGGAGAAAGATCACACGGAGGAGAGGAGGAACACCTGAGCAGAGGATGGTTGAGGGAAACGTGATTGATGGATAAGCTAGTTACTATACTTCTAGCTAACTGATGAGTATGAATGACCCATCCAAGGTCAATCTTGCGCCTACCTTTGTAATCTACTATTGGCACATGTACATAGCGAAGACATCCCGCGATGGGAAATATCTCTAGTCTACAGTGAACATGTCACGTTGCTCCATACTATTTGATATGGGACCGTTGACAGTGTCGGTAGATGCTATTCCACGAATGGGATCCAAGACCCAAGCTTCGCATTTGATAAATCTGCAAGCTTGTTAGCTATTTGCACCAAGACAAAGCCATATCAAGCAAAAGCGTGATTGAAATCTTCCTCAGTGATCTTGGTGATAAAGTAGTAATCATCGTAATCATCTACTATCTATTGCATGTTGTAATCATTGGAAGGGGGGCGCATGATGATGCAAGTAAAGCTGGACTGACCTTGGATGAAATATACTGGTGGCTTCAGAGTAAGTGAGCAAACCTCTTATGCTACATCACAATGCAAAACCAAGTCGTAGACCCATGAGCTATGAGTGGGAATGTGCTTAAAATCTTTTCACAGTTAGCAAAGGTCCTCCATAGAGCATCGACATGATAAGCTGGGTGTGTGAAGCAAACTCAGAATATGTAAGAAATTGAATATCATAAACCCGCCGCCGTTAAGAGACCCCGGCGAGGGTCTCCGACGACGGGCTCAATCGCAAATTATGTCATCCTTGGAGGGCGAGGAAAATTGCGGAGGATGGAGACGTACCAGTGGAGCTATCGAGCTAAGCTGCAGCTGCAGCCAGTTTGCAGAGGAATGAGTAGATGTGTCCGTAGCCGGGAAGGCGCATCAACCCTCATCCGTCAGAAGCGCTCTGTCTATGCGCATAGCACAGATGCAGCGAGTGCATCGCAGAAGACTGCAGGCGGGCGTTGATGTTGCTGGTGTTTGTGAGGCCAAGATGTAAAGAAATAAGTCGCGGTCGCGGTTGCGTTTTTCTGCTAGCGCCAAGCCGGGCTTCGCTTGTGCACGGCCCCGGCACCGCACTTGGATTTTCGATCGCATTGTCTCTACATTCCGAACAGAACATCACACAACGACCTAATTTCCGACCAGTACGCCTCTCGACGCTGCACCATACTCGCTTCATTGTCTAACATTCATTCGCAGCACAACCGACGAAATGGGTGACGCCGAAATCACAACGAGTGCCTGGAGGCTGGTCGAGGTCGGCCGTGTGGTCCTCTTCAACGAGGGCCAGTACGAGGGTCGCCTGGCTGCCATTGTCGAGATCATTGACCACAAGCGTGTACGGAAACCCGCGGACTCGGTTGCTATTCAGCCGCTCACAGAAGCATAGGTTCTCGTCGATGGTCCTTCCGAGAAGGCCCCCGTTCCCCGCCAGGAGATCGCCCTTGCCAAACTCTCCCTCACACCCATCGTCATCCCCAAGCTTCCCCGCGCCAGCGGTGTTGGTCACGTTGCAAAGAAGTGGGAAGAGCACAAGGTCCAGCAAAAGTTCGACGAGAGCGCATGGGCAAAGAAGCGTGCGGCCATGCAGAAGAGGCGGGGACTGAACGACTTTGAGCGCTTCAAGGTCATGAAGATGAGGAAGCAGGTACGTTGCGTCTGGCGTTGCCCCCTGTGACCGGTCGTAATTTGGATTGTGTCCTGGGGAATTTGCGCAGTCTGGAAATGGCATAGCTAACAGACACACAGGCCCGCTTCGAGGTCCAGAAGACCTTTGCCAAGATCCGCGCCAGCGCAAAGGCATAGGTATTCTAGATGCTGTCGGGAGACAGGCGTTGTGGAGGTCGCTGCATGCAGGTGACGGAGAGGCATGATGTGCATTTTTCATGAGCATTCCGAAGGCGACCCTCAAAGGCATTCAAAAATTCAAGACCTGGCTTCGGGTGAATAAGTCCAATGTTTGGCATGGTGCAATTCGGTATGGGAAACGTTTACTCGGCTCTCGCATGCATTCTACATGTAGCAAGAGAGTCCAATCCACAATTTCATGAACACACAAAAGACTGCAACTAGAATTGCCAATTTGATACCCTCTTTGAACTGGCTTGTTTCTGTGAAATAATGACTATGCGAGGATAATGTGATTGCTGTAGTAGCCGTAGCAGCGGTTGTAGTAGGCAATCGTCATATGCGAACTTTTGGGGGAGGAGCTGCCCGCGCTAAACCGCCCACAAATCATTTTTGGGGGAAGCTGCGACCACCACCCGGCGGACCTCGATATTGCAGCACCAGTACCATCACCACGTCTCGTCACCCACACACCGACAAAATGGCCAACCCACGCATCGAAGAAATCCCCGACGAGCCCGAGAAGAAGAACGCTCAGATCGAGGAGGATGAGTCCAGCGACGAGTCCGAGGCTGAGGAGGGTGAGGTCAACGTGCCTGCGGGCTCCTCCGTCGCTGTCCACTCTCGCAACGAGAAGAAGGCTCGCAAGGCCATTGCCAAGCTCGGCCTGAAGCACATCGAAGGCATCACCCGTGTCACCCTGCGCCGACCGAAGAACGTGAGTGCCCGCGAGCCAATTGGTGTTGATGGTGGAAGCCCGCAGTCAAACAACAGAGATGCGGGCAGAGCCGCTGTGATGGAATTGGAGCTAACAACTAGCCAGATCCTCTTCGTCATCAACCAGCCTGACGTCTACAAGTCTCCCTCGAGCAACACCTGGATGTTAGTCTACTGCCCCTCAATTGCCGTCCCGCCTACTGACCCCGCACCAGCATCTTCGGTGAGGCCAAGATTGAGGACTTGAACTCCCAGGCCCAGGCTTCCGCCGCCCAGCAGCTCGCTCAAGCCGAGGCTCAGTCCCACGACCACGCTGGCCACGACCACGACCACGACCACGACCACGGCAAGGGCAAGGCTGTCGAGGACAAGAAGGAGGAGGAAGAGGAGGAGGATGACGACGAGGAGATCGACGACTCTGGCCTCGAGGGCAAGGACATCGAGCTCGTCATGCAGCAAGCCAGCGTCTCCCGAAAGAAGGCCGTCAAGGCTCTCAAGGAGAACGATAACGACATCGTAAACTCCATCATGGCGCTGAGCATATAGAGTGCCTTAGTCTAGGCGTCTAGGTACGAGAGGTGGATGATGACTTCCAAGGCATTGCAGAGTCGAAAGACTGCCTGCCCACTGATGTAAAAGAATCAATCAACATGAATCTTTACGAGTCAATGCGTCTTCCTATTTTGCATCAACAAGAGGGATAGAAATAGTTGAGCTGACAATTTTAGATATCTGGAAGTGCGAGGAAAGTAACTCACTTGAGCCATGCTCTGATTCTGAAACAAGTGTGAGCGCGAATGAAGATGATGATGGGCATCACTGATTCTTCACAAAACAAGGCGACCCAAAAATGCTCCAGCTGAAGAGGATGCAAATCCTTGTTCTAGGCTTGAGTAGCATAGGGTATCCAGATCCTCTGTTGGACAGGGGCGGAGGTGTGGCCAGCCATCATTCATGACCAATGTGCGCTTTGAGCGTTTTGACGTCGTTGTCAAGCTTGCAGTCTCTCAGCTGCAGACGACTACGTGACCAAACATTCCCATTCTAGTATCTTTGGAATCCCTTCCTGGAAATGTCTCCTTCCGAACCTAGCACTGGCTGACCATGTCATGGGCCCGTCGATGATGTGAGCCATAAGAAGCATATCCTCTAGTAGGCGATCATTGAAAGCTTGGTACCATATGTCCAATCAACTTCTGGGTATGACCCAGACAAGGCTGTTGGTATTGCATCATCCCGTTGTATTTTGTGGGCGTACTGACTCGCCAGTGTGGAGGCTCTTTCTCACGTTAGACTGCTGACGCACCCACTTTCAGCCTCGTAGACATTTCCCCTTGGCAAGGATGACATTGTTTTGGGTCGCGATCGCAATTGTGGCTAGTAAACTGCAAGGTCGATGGTACAGTTTCGTCTTGAGCAGAGAAAATTTCCCATCATGGAGCGCACCGTTATGCCTTACTGATCAGCGCATTCACGAGACTTCAGAAACATATCGCATGGCCATGTGGGCAGCTTCAAAATGACCGGCGATTGATGGGGAGCAGCAGTGAAGTTGGAGTTAGAGTCGCTGAGCCACACGCTAGATTACTACTAGCCACTGTGCGGCAGTCCCGAAGCCTCCCCAAACTTGATTCCTTGCACCGTCAGCTTCGCCATCAGCCTCAGCCTCAAACCCAAACTCCAGGTTTATTTACTGATCGTGACATCAGGCCTCCCAGATATACGTCGGAAACCCAGACTTCCGGGCGTGTATCGCACTCTCCGATTCACCTGCGCCAGGCTCACTAACACAACTGCAAACTGGTACCTTCAGCTGGTCATTCTGCTGCGAACTCGTACAATGAAACTTGGCCGATAGGTGCTTGTCTCTGATCCCTCCAGCCAGGATTATTTTTGACTCGAGGAACACCAAACTATGGCCAATAAGGCTCCATTTTGCACACAAATGTCGGAGAATATCGAATATACAACGAATGAGCACTTAGCACATAAGCTTGGCATCTGATTCATGAGTGCCAAAAGTATGGGACCATCATGACGGCGCGTGAGCTTGGATCTGCCGGCCCGCCAGGTCCATGATCGACTCATCCTTGCCCATAGTCTGACGATAGCATCTCTGTTCGACGCCGGAAAAGGCTGTTGGTGCCAATCAACAAACCTATCAACTCACCAGGAGCATGGCCGTTCCCATAGATCTCATTGCATGGATGTTTGTAGGCGATGAAGCTGACCACTTTTGTCTTAAGAAGATTAGCATCTTACTGAATACCTCCATACTTACCTTGCCTAGCTGGTTCCATCATCCTGGGCTGTGGGGTTTGGGAACATTTTGTGGCTTCATGACCATGTGGCTTGGTTAAACAGAACGCTCCTTTGCTCTTGGTTGTGGAGGCTTTCCGAATCTATCTTGTTCCAGCTGAACTTACACACAGCAAGATACCAGCCTTAGGCGTCATCAAATGGAAGGTAAAAGGTTAGGTACAGCTTTATATAATGACTTCATTTTCCTATTCCACATGCCTCACTCAAAACAGGAACAACAGTATCCCAGAACTCGACATATATATTCCTTAAGAAATTTGTGTCGCTCATCGAATACCATCTTCAGAGAACTTGTATGCGAGATCGGCTCAGATACTCAACCGATACCGAACTTCAGGAATTCAACAGCCCACCAGCTCGTATATACTACGTGCCAAAGTCTTTCACAATGTCTTCAACTCAAAGAATCACGATTGTACGCTATCATTCTCCCCAATCATCATTCCCGCCCTGCTCCGTAACATCACTATTCTCATACATCTAACATCACCCAGGCAGAGAAAGAAAAATACATTCAGGCCTTGCGAGCCCACCGAGTAAACACCGTAGTTGAACTCCGCCGCATCGAAAAAGCATTCGCAGTCCTCGGTACCTCCGACTGTAGCGAAGCCATGACATCAGCATGTAAGTCAGGAAGTTCCCCAATTTTCCCAAACGCATCATAAAATTAACGTCCAATTTCTCTCAATTCTTAGGGTCCTACTACGTCGACTCTCACAGCCTCCTAACCGAACTCCGTGGCTTGACTCGCAACTATCCATTTAGGTAACTCGCCAAACATGCATTTCGAAAAAAAAGATTGATTAACAATGAAAAAAAAACAGTTCAAACTGCCTCGACGAAGCCAAACGCCGCGTCTACACCGACCCAGCCAGTAACCGCTCCTGGAACCTATGCTGGCTCGTTCTCAGTAAAATACAAGCCGAGTGCGTCCCTTCTCTCTCTCCTTACCACCTTGCCCTTCCCCTCCTCTCTCTTCCCTTTCACCTCCCCCCCATTCCCTTCATTTCTCAAGGCCCGTAAACTCAGCAAACGACTACTTTGCTAACTGGGGAAAAAAGCCAACTCATCCCATACTACGCGCGCTACCAGGCTTCGCAGCCAGCCATGTGGGGTGGACACGCACCGACGGCAGAGCAGGTTACGCAGCTGACGGAGGCGTTTGTGAATGAGTGGAATTGGGCGGTTGCGCAGATGTTGAGGCATTGGGTGCAGCCACCTGCGAGGTGAATGGGGGTGTTTGAGGAGACGGGAGGGTGGGCGTGATGATGGGTGGGGGTTGGGGAATTGGTGTTGTAGGCGTTTTTTTCTTTGCTTTTTTTGAGTGGGGAGGATGAGAGTGTTGGAGTTTTCTTGGTTGTTTTCTGGGTATAGAAGGTGTTGGAGTTTTGTTCCTCATGGTCCTTTTGTTTTGCGGGAAGATAATGGATATTATATTTCTTTTTTTTCCTTCTAAGTCTTGAATTGAGTTGGCTCCTTTTCCCTTTCTACGATGTATTATTGCGTCTGTTTTACATATTTTTTTTGCCCTTGTGTTTGAATATCTCTTTTATGCATAGCTAGCGCTGATCTCGCATCTCGCTTGCTTCCTATCCAGTTGTTTGTCAAAGGAATTTCGGGCGTATTGTAGAAAAGAGGATAGAAAAGTTGGTAACCGAAAAAAAGCAATTTCACCATAGAAAATCAGTGATAGTCTTGACTATAGTCTGGAGAAAGTTTTGTAAGGTGTAGAGGCTGCTCTTAGTCTGTCGAATATTGATTTCCCATCTCTCGTTTCAACATAGTCGTGAGATGGTATACAAAGCTTGGAGTCGCTCGATAGCGCCGTATCTCTCCGCTCAGCACGAATTATGAATCATACTCGGCCATGCATTCAGTCACGCAATGCCCTTTACCTTCTCGCATTCCGGATACGAAGG